TTTACACTTGGAGAAGCCGAGGATCTGCAGTGAGAGGTAACCTGCCATAGGTCACACAGCTACGAAGAGGTGGGGCCGAGATTTCTAATCGCACTTCTGTGCTCTCCCAGGGGCTTTTTGGGCCCTGCACCCACCAACCTCTAGCTCACTTGTCTGCTCTACTTTGGTTTCCTAGCGCATCACAACCTCGTGGAGTTTAACCTGCAGGAGCCGAGAAACAAGGACACCCATATCATGGTCACCTTCTTTAGCAGCAATGCCACCTCCTCAGCCAAGATCACCATGTAAGTAAGTGTCCCTCACAGCTGGCCTCCTCTCTCCTTAGGACATAGTTTTATTTTACACACACACACACACACACACACACACACACACACACACACACCAGGACACCAGGACACCAGGACAGGCATTGGGGCTGGGGCTGGGGGTGAGGGCAGAATCTACCACAGACACAGACACAGACACAGACACAGACACAGACACAGACACAGACAAAGACACAGACACACAACTGTCTCAAGTTCAGGGTCAGTACTGAGTTCAAGCATATTGCATTCAGACAAGAGGAGATAAGGCAGGCAGGCAGCAGTAATGAGGTGTCCCAATAGGTGGTAAAAACATAGAACATAGAAATTGTGTCCCTGATAGGTAGCAGTGCTCAGGTATGCAGGAGGGGGGCATCAGGGATGTCAAAAGTGGGAGGGCTTCAGCCATGAGGAAGGGTAGGCCACAGCCTGGGAAGCACCCACTCCTGAGCAGGGAAGCGGCACTGGGTGAGTTACCAGGATAGAACTGCAGGCAGTGACAGGTAACAAATGAATGCAAGGGGAGGGCCAGCAGGCTTGATGTTGGGTGGTGCCAGTTACTGGAACCAGGGCTGAGCGTTTCTTTCCTTGTTGTCGCACCCGGGCCTAGCAGCTGGTTGGGACCAGGCTGGAGATGGGAGGGCAGAGGACCTCAACTGTAGGACATCACAAGCCAGGCAGGGAAAAGGACCTCGGCAGTGCATGCTTCTTCAAAAAGCAATTGGTTGGTTACTCACAAACTAGTAAGACACTCACTAATCAGATAAAACAGCATCTCAGTTAGGGTCCAGTCTGGGAACCAGAACCCAAGCCAGGTAGGATTTAACTCCGGGACTAATTATGATGTGTTGGGAGAGCTGAAAACCCAAAAGGAGTTTTTTTTGAAAACCCAAAAGGGCGGGTGGCAATGCAAAGTCAGCCACAGGAGGAGCCATTCCACCCCTGGGCTAGAGGTACAAAGTCAGGGTGGTGTTGGCAGAGCACAGAACAGAGCTAGATTCTCCCTGGAGCCTGCCGGCAGAGGAGCCTGAGACATATGGTTTGCAAGAGAATGGAAAGCACACAATGGGAAAATGACCAGAGTGCACAAATAGAAGTGTCAACAAGGGCAGGTGCTATGCCAATATGTAAGATGACACCTGACCAAGTGTGAGGACATGATATTTGAGTGGAGATTTTATTTTATTTTATTGATTTCAGAGAGAAAGGAAAAGGGAGACATAGAAAAGACATAGAAACATCAATGATCAGATATAGTCATTGATTGCTGCCTCCTATATGCCCCACACTGGGGATTAAGCCTGTAACCCGAGCATGCGCCTTGACCTGAAATGGAACTGGGGCCCTTCAGTCTGCAGGCCAACACTCTATCCACTGAGCCCAACCAGCTAGGGCTGAATAGATATTTAAGATTCTCAGGGGTTGCTCAGGTCAGGGGTTACTGAGACTATGACCCTGGGAGGGGAAGCAGGGGGTCAAAGCCCCATGTGAGGAGGCTGGAAGGGCAAGCCAGGGCTACTCCCAGCAAGGCCCTGACGGCAGGTTGGAGAGTTTAGTTTTATCCTGAGATCCAGGTCAGGGAGCCACTGGGAGTTTTATTATTTATTTTATTTTTTTTAATGTATTTTATTGATTTTTTACAGAGAGGAAGAGAAAGGAATAGAGGATTAGAAACATTGATGTGAGAGAATCATTCATCAGCTGCCTCCTGCATACCTCTTACTGGGGATGTGCCCGCAACCAAGGTACATGCCCTTGACCGGAATAGAACCCGGGACCCCTCAGTCTGCAGGCTGACGCTCTATCCACTGAGCCAAACCGGTTTTGGCAACCACTGGGAGTTTTAAACAGGAGTGTGACCAGATCAGTTTTGGGTCTGAAAACATTTCTCAGGCTGCAGGGCTGCACATTAACTGTGCTTTCAGGGAAGATAAGTCTCTGCTGGAAGGAGCAGGAGGACTTCTCGGCTCCCAAACAGCGTGGGACAGACAGGGTACAGCTCCCCAAGGCCGCACCATGAACATGGCAGGCAATTGGGACCCCAACCAGATCGCCAGGTGCCTAGCTGAGCCCTGTAGATTGCAGCTTTTCTTCTTCAGGTCACTTCAGAGGTGTGTTTCTTCTAGAAGGGTGTTTTCGTTACCTCTCCAGCCCATTGGCAGTCCAAAAGAAGGGATTTAACTCTGTGACAGTGACACACAACTCTGGCTGCACATTAGAATCACCTGGAGAGCTTTGAAAAATACTGCCACTAAGCTCCACCCCAGAACAATCTGAGCAGAATCTCTGGGCATTGCCTCAATAGCTATACTTTTTATTTTATTTTTTTTATTTTATTAAATAACCTTTTATTTTTAAATTAGTGTCGTACAATATTATATTAGTTTCACGTGTGCAAACCAATGAGATTTGACATTTATATAATTACAAAGTGATTAGCCCGATAAATCTAGTACCCACCAGATACCACACATAGGTATTACAATATTATTGACTATCTTCCAACAGGTACACTTTTAAAGCAGAGGTAGGGAACACCTGGCCCACTAGTAGTTTAAGGCTCTCGAAATCCTTTGGTCTGGCCCTGCCAAGGCATTAGGGGTGAGTTAGTGAAATGACCAAGTATAGCAGGCTGATTGTTAAATTGATAATTTTGTACGGCCCAAATATCCAAATGGCCCCTGGTAGAAAAACGGTTCCCCAACCCTGTTTTAAAGACTCCCTAAATGATTCGAATGGACATTCGCAGACCCCTTCTTCCCTCTCTCAAGAGACTGGAATTACTGTTTTGAAGAAGGCTCTCAACATGAGTACCTTAAATTCCTTGGTGTTTTTGTTGCAGAACAGAAATTGAAAAAAAAAAAAAAAAGTGGGGGGAGGGGGCTTGTGGGTGGTCTTTCCCCAACTTTCTGTAGTTTTGTGAAACCCCCAAATTTCCTTCTAATTAGAGAATTTACCCGGGCCTAGTCCCCAGCCACTCACAGCGTCCTTCATACTCCTGGTTTGCAAGCTCCTCCACCCAAGCAGCTTCTTCCGGTGAACATTAAATATTTCAAAAACACTCCCCACGTGTAAAATAACAGGAACAGCTTTTATACAAAATTATCCTAGATCTTCCTCAAGAGGGAAGAACCAATCAATGACTAACCCTGGGTTAAAAAAATACATAAAGAAGACATTCCATCTCTGTGGAGGCCAGAAAGGAAAATAAAACCTTGCTGCAGAGCCAGGCCCGGCCTCACCCACCTGTGCGGGAGAGCCCAGGCAGGACTGGAAAGGCAGCCTGCCCAGGGCACAAGAGGCAACCTGGCGCCCTCCTGGCTCTGCGGGTGGGCCTGGGCAGTGCCAGGCGTCTCCTCCACACGGAGTCTTGCTTTTGCCCAGGGTCCTGTGGCCCTTCCTGGAGCGCTTCTCTACTTCATACTCCTCTCTCCCTCTTTGTCTCAGGACAGGAGTCCAAGGTGGAGCCTGAATCTTGCAAACGGGTGGGGAGTCAGGGGCAAGGCCAAGGGGGCGGGTGGGAGAGTCCTGGGTCCTGTTTTCACTCTAAGCCTCGGGACTTCCTTCGTCCACACCAGCACAGCCTGTGCTTCAAGCTCACAGCTGGCTGGAGAGCCATGTTCACCCCAACGGCTCCGTGACTCCAAAGCCTTCCAGCCGGGAAGAGGCAAAGCCTGAGTCTCACCCCAGCTGTCTAATTTCCAGCCCTGGTTTTAGTCTGTTTCTTCCCATCCACACATTGATGCTCAGTCTAAAACAGAGCACTCCTCGCATTTCCTAACTGCAATGACAGCGGGTTTTCCTGCACCAGCGGGTTCCACGACGTACATTGCAGATAGGGGTTCTGTCTTGGGGGACTGCCGAGAGGAAAGCGCCCGGATTGAGGCCGAGATCCAGGGGAAGCCTCACTGCCCACGGCCACCGAGGAGGGAGAGGAGTCCTGTCCTAGGCCAAAGCCCAGGAGAGGGCCACTGCTGGCTCTCTCCCCGAGAGGCCAGGCCTTGCAAGGGAAGCAGAAATCTGTTGTTAACACAGTACCAACCCAAAGTGGCTGCTCTCGAACTACAATCCAATAGAAGTGCGACTTGTCTAATTATCATCCTTGGGGCTTTGTACCACAGTGCAGAAGGCTGCTACCTTTGGAAGGCTCAGCAGCTCCTTGCCAGCCGCCCATCTGTACTGAGCGGCCCCCACCCCAGCTAGATGCCTGAGCCCAAATCCCATTTGTTCAGCCCCAAGCCCCTGGACTTCCAAAGGCGGGAGGCTTCGCCAGGCAGGGCGTCGGCCCCTTTAATTGGGAGCGCGCTCCCAGGACCCATCCAGGAATCTCCCCGGAAGGAGGGGAATTTCCCAGCATCCCTGCGTCCTGCCTTCCACCCTGGGCCTGGCCCAAACCAAAACGAGGGGTGGGGGTGGCGAGGGCAGGGCAAGGCGCAGGCTCTTGCGGGATGGGATTGGGCCTTCGGATCATCGGGGCACAAAGCTCAAGGAGCACAAAGCCCAAGTAGCAGCCGAGGCTCCTCAGCGAGTAGTTTGGTGCCATGGAGGAGCCCAGAGGCCTGGGCGCCGTTCCCCCTGGAACCCCCTGCAGTCAACTCCTCAGTGGTCCGGTCCTGTTGATGAGCGGAAGCTCCTCATTCTCTGCTGTTGGTTGTGGCCCAGCCAGGCTGTGGGTTAGGCCTAGAAGCCCAAGGCAGCCCTGGCGCCATGGAGGAGCCCGGGACTGCCTCTCCGCCCACTTGGGGCTAGTCCTGGCAAAGCTTGGCAGGGCTAGGCAGCATTGCCGAAGACACGAGAAAAGAAAACCACCCATAATCCCTATGGTTTTCTATGGGAATTGCTGACATGTGCAACCATTGTTGGATTTTTGTGTGTGCTGTTTTTTGTGGATAAGTTTTTGTTGGGTTAGAAGCCGGCTTTATGTGGAAAGGGAAAAAGCATGCTGTAGAACTTTGTACACTAATGGAAGGAAACTGTAAACTGCTTGAAAAATGTAGCCTCGTACAAAAAGAGTGTGAAAGCTTCGAGTCATTAAAGGATTCCAGCTTTGAGGAGGAGCTGACAGAAACTCAACGTGTGGAGGCAATTTGTGAAAAGCTGAGCAATTCCAAATCTGAATTTGAGGATGAAATATTCTTTCTAGCAAAAGAGTTAAAGGAAGAGAAATCAGAACAAGATGAATTGGTGGTGGATATTTCCAAAAGGATACAGTCCTTAGAAGATGAATCAAAATTACTCAAATCACAAGTTGCTGAAGCCAGAACAACCTTCAAAATATTTCAAATGAGTGAAGAACGACTTAAGATAGCTATAAAAGATACTTTGAGTGAAAATTCCCAACTTCAGGAAAGCCAGAAACAGCTTTTACAAGAAGCTGAAGAATGGAAAGAACAAGTAAGTGAACTTAATGAAGAGAAGATAACATTTGAAGACTCCAAAGTATATGCAAAACAAATTTTATGTGACAAAGAATATCAGATCAAATCTCTGACTGAATACTTGCTAAAGATGCAAGATTGGACTGCAGTGCTTGGAGAAGAAGTAAGGGATGATAACTTGGAATTGGAAATGAGTGATTCAGAAAATAGTGCACTCTCACATAATCAACCAAAAGGAGATTTGAAGAAGCTGATTCATACTGCTAAGTTAAAGGCTTATTTAAAAACCCTAGAAGGAGAAAGAAACCAAATATACACCCAATTAACTGAAGTAGATAAAACAAAGGAAGAGCTTATAGAGTGTATTAAAAATTTCCAGGCTGAACACACATCTTTGCAGTTAGAAAATGAACATCTTGAAAATGAGAATCAAAAGCTTCAGCACAAACTTAAACTAATGACTGAACTATATAAAGAAAATGAAATGATACTTAACAGGAAGTTAACAGTAGAAGAAAATTACTGGTTAGAGAAAGAGAAAAAACATTCTAAAGGGGATGAAAAGATCACCCATGCAGCCGAAGATCTGGATACCTATAGAATTAGAGCCAAAGATCTTGAGGAAGAATTAGAGAGAACCATTCATTCTTATAAAGGGCAGATTATTTCCCATGAAAGAAAAGCACATGATAATTGGTTGGCAGCTTGGACTGCTGAGAGAAATCTCAGTGATTTAAAGAAAGAAAATTCTTACCTCAGACAAAAATTAATGGAAACAGAGCATAAATGTGAACTTTTAGAAAAAGATCTGTATGCACTTGATGCTCCAAGTACAGCATTTGGCAGAGAGCATTCCCCATATTGTCTGTCACCATTGAGTCCACCTTCATCTGAAACAAGAGCTTTTCTCTCCCTTCCAACTTTGTTGGAGGGCCCAGTCAGACTCTCACCTTTGCTTCCAGGGGTAAGGAGGATAGACTTAAGAGGCCCAGGGAATCCTCAGGACCATCAGATTACTAATGAAAGAGGAGAATCAAGCTCTGATAAGTTAACTCATCCTCATGGGGAACCTTCTGACACTGGATCCCTTTCATCTCCATGGGAACAGGATCATAGGATGATAATTCCTCCATCAGGCCAACCTTATCCTGATCCAGCTCTTCCTCTACATAGGCAAGAAAGATTTTATTCTAATATTGGTAGACCATCTGGACCGGCAGAACACAGAAGCTTTAATATGCCATCATTGGATAAAGCAGATGGGTCAATGTCTTCCAAAATGAAATTCAGTGGAAATGATAGCAAAAATGATCTTGGTAACTTAAATATGCCTGATGCGTCTCTCCCCACCAAAAGTAAAGCAACTGACCCTGGCTTTGTTCCTCCAATCAGAGGTCCATTGTTCCCATTGGATGCCAGGGGCACCTACGTGAGACAAGGTCATCCTTTTCCTCTACATCCAGGAAGCATGTATGGAGCTTCCTGTGATTATTTTCCTCCAACTGACTTTTCTGGCCCACCACCTCCTCCATTTGCAATGAGAAATGTCTGTTCCTCAAGAGCTTTTCCTCATTATCTTCCCCCAAGAGCTGGATTTTACCACCACATCCTGAAAGAAGTAAGTACCCATCAGGGTCGATTCTGCCTTCAAGTGAGCCTATTGCTGAATGAACAACCCAAAACACAAGAGTCTTGACAATAGTTTTGATCTCCAAAAGTAATTTTGACTTCTTCCATTTTCAGTTTAAGCTGTTACTTAAGTGATTATACTTTATGCTCAAATTGGAGCTTAATGGATTACATTCTCAGGATAGTGTTTTCTAAATAAAGATTATTTAAATATGAATCTAATTAATTATTTCTATTTTATTTTATTTTATTCTACATAATGTAATTGTTTTAATTTGAGTAGCAAATTCACTATCACATAAATAATAATATGAGTTTCCTATATGTGATCTTGTAGTTGGGGATGTTTTAAAGTCCAAAGGCTATGTCTTTATGCCAAGAACTGTATTTCCTATTGTTATAGACAAATGTGAAAATAACTATGACTAATTAATTAAATTTTAATTGATTTAAATATTTGCGTGGCATTGATTATAATAATAGAATCAGCTAGGTTTTTTTTTTTTTTCCGTTAAAGAAAAAAAAGTGGAGTAGTCCTCACAAAAATCCTTTGACCTGAATGCCCTAAAATTGGGCTCTAATTAAAGACTGGTAAATATGAAAGTGTAGATCTCTTCCAACTATTGTAGGAATCTAAGAATGAGGGACATTTTTCAGATGTGAAAATCCAAGGGCTACTACTTTGCTGCAGCGTCCACTTCTTTACTTAAAAACAAAACAAAACAAAAAACACACAAAATAACAAATATATATATTTTTTAATTTCTTTATTGATTAAGGTATAACATATTTGTCCTCATCCCCCCATTCCCATCCCAAACTCCTCCCCCAAACTCATGTCCCTATACTCCTGTTGTCTGTGACCGCTGGTTAGGCTTATATGTAGGCATACAAGTCCTTTGGTTGATCTCTCCCCCTTACCCCCCACCCTCCTCCTACACTATAGACTGATTCATTTGCCTCTCAGCATAACAATTATTGCTTGTCTCATTTTCGGTTCTTATAAGTGTATTTATAGTATCACATGATCTCACTCATCTAGGGGAAATAAGGACAACATAAACTGATGTGTTTTTGAGTCATGTTCAAAATTGTGGGTATGGGCAGAAGGACTTGTTGTGATGATACAAAGGACCATGGTCCCCACCTACAAGGGGCTGATCCTCATACATAACGGCTAATCAGTGCTACCAGCAGAACCTCAAGGACCAAGAGAAGCAAGGTCAAAAGTGCTACATGATTACTCTCCCTTTCCCTTGTAGACCGAAAAAGAAACTTCAGGGGAGAGGAGTCCTAGCTCACCCCACTCCTCAGTGCCAGATATACCAAGTGAATCTCAAGTTTCAGGCTTCTCGCCAGTTTTGGAGAAAAGACCGGACTACCATTGTTGGGAAATTCTGCACTGCTCCTTTGCCTGTCAATGACAAGTAAGCCGAGTATGCACCTACCCTAGACACACCCATAAGGACCAATCTCGACTTAGATATGATGCTTGTTGAGGTTCAATCTCATCACAAGTGATTTGCTTCTTTGATGCATAGACGACAACAACCCAAGGTTTTTTCCTGACACACTTGCAGGGCTATCTTGGGTTGGGAATGTTAAAAAGCCACAGAGGATGAACTCTAAATCCACATTCCCACTTCAATATAAGAAACCCCATTTTACCTGGTCTGTCTATCATCCATCTATCTCTATCTTATTTGGTTTCTATATAAGATTTTATTGGAATAAAGATCCCCAATTGCATTTTTCCTCCTCCTTGGCATCCACTGGCCACACCCATGAGTGTGGATTGAGACTCCCCAATCCCTTTACCCTGACTCTAGCCTTTATATTATTAGTCCTACCATCCCACACCTTTGGAGGACAGTAGGCTCCTATAGTAGACAATTGTAGACTTCTTTCACCTGACATCATTAAGACTCTTAGAGAGCTCTTATCCCTCCATCCTGACCAAAAGGAACCTGCCCTGAACAGATATCTTCTTGTTGCTTTTCTCTTGCAGTAAAAAGATGGTCTGCTTACCTGAGCCAGTGAGCTTACAAGCAGATGTGACTATTTGTCGTGACCTCAAAATTACGTGTGTATAGTAAAAGCCTGAGGAGGATGTATCCCTGGATTGTAAGGATGGGGAGGGGGGGAGGGCGGGAAGGGGTTTCAACTTATTCTAGGCCACTGCTACTAAAAATGAAGGCAAAACTCATTTTATAGAGCTATCTTTATTTGCATGCCAATTTGAAGAGTCTTACATAGATATCATTTCAGCTTTCTTACGCATACTTAAAGGCAATTACCCCCACGTCCTTGTGCTCTGTACAATAGAAACATATACAGGAAAAAGGCTTTTATAAAAAATAAAACTCCATGGAATACCTGAATTATTTATTGGGATGGAATTCTGTTACCAAAAAAAAAAGAAAAAAAAGAAAAGAAAAAGTGACTTATAGTCTGTGCAATTGGAGAAAACAGTAGATGCTGAGTTCTCTGTGTTAAAATAGCGATTGGAAAGAGGAGCCTGGAACAAGAGAGGGGATGAAGGATGGGGCTGAAGATGCTGCCATTCACGTACCTTACCATCACCTTTTCTGGATATCTGGAAAGTTGGGGGAGAGAGGGGAGATCAGAGAGATCTTTGGGGGAAATATAGGTAGATTTTCTTTGTGTCAGTGTTTCCCAAACTTTGATCTTTATAAATAACCTTGTATCAGCCACAGTCTAGCAAGAAGCAGATGGTGCACTCAAATTAGGTAATTTGAGGGGATTTTAATAAAAGGACTATTTACAAAGGTTTTAGTGGGAAATGAGGAAACCATGCAAGAGAGTGCAGCTGCAGGGCTAGTGGCAGTGGGAGCCGCTACTCCCTAAGGCACCTGTGTCAAACACAAGGCCCTCGGGCCAAATCCGTCCCGCCAGGCCTTGCAATGTGGCCCGCACCGCGCTGTCATCACTGCACTCCGCTGCGTTTCCATCACAATGACAGTTTATGACTGTTCAGTAAACCATTCGGCCCGTGATTTAGGCTGGATTTTAGATTTTGGCCCCTTCTCTGATTGAGTTCGACACCCCTACCCCCTAAGGTATAAGGAGGCAAGTGGGAGGAGCACCAGAATCTGGAGCCAGCATGGGCTGTGGGACCTTAGGTCAAGGGACACAGTCATCAGGCAGCAATATTGCAGGGAGGGAGCCAGGGAAACAGTCTCCAACCTCACTCTTCTTTCCTCCCTCATTTCCCTGCTAATACTCCCCATTGAGTGACTACAACTGGAAGCTGGAAGGCAGGAGGCACAGTGATGCGGCTCAGGGGGGAAAGCAGGGCAGAGAATGGACAGTTGGGAGTGTGGAACAGAGAGCTATGGCCCACACCTTCACCACTTTCTCCAGAGCCAGTTATGGCCTGGATTCTTCTAAGCTTAATGGTTTCCTTTAAATTAGTTCTTTAAAAAATCATCTTAATCACTTTTAAGTGACCAACAATTCAGTGGTTTTAAGCATATTCACATTGTTGTGCAAACCTCACCATGATTCATCTCCTGAACTTTTTCATCATCCCAAACTGAAACTCTGTACGCATTAAATATATCTCCACTTGCCTACACCCAGCCTGTGATAACCAATATTCTACTTTCTGTCTCTACTAGAGGCCTGATGCACGAAATTCATGCAAGGGCCTCGGCCCTCACAGCCCTGGCTTCGTCCAGAAGGTCGTCCAGAAGGACGTCTGGAAGGACATCTGGAAAGTCATTCGGCTCTCTGGTCTAATTAGCATATTATGCTTTTATCATTATAGATGCATTCTACTATTCTAGGTACCTCATTCAATATCTGTCCCTTTGTGATTGTCTTATTTCATTTAGCATAATGTTTTCCGTGTTTACCCTTATTAGGGTAGCATGTGTCAGAATTTCCTTCCTTTTTAAGGGTAACTAATATGCTATGTATGCATATACCACATTTAGTTTATTGGGCATTTGAGTTGCTTCTGCCTCTTAGCTATTGTAAATAATGTTGCTATTTATATGGGTGTGCAAATATCTGTTCACACTTTTAAAAAAAATAAATCTGTATTGCTCAGATCATTACAATTGTTTCTCCTTCCCCTTCCCCCCCCCCCCCCATAGCTCCCTACCACCCGGTTCCTGCCCCACCCTCTGCCCTTACCTCCCCCCCATTGTCCTCATCCATAGGTGTACGATTTTAATCCAGTCTCTTCCTGCACCCCCCACACTCCTTTCCCCCTAATAATTATCAGTCCACTCCCTTTCTTTGCCTCTGATTCTATTATATTCACCAGTTTAATCTGTTCCTCAGATTTTTAATTCACTTGATTTTTAGATTCACTTGTTGACATATATGTATTTGTTGATTATGTTCAGGACTTGTTTATATAATAAGCTACATAAATGTAGTTTGAAAGGAAACTGCTGATTTGCTGGTTCACTCTCCATAGTAAAGGCAGGGCAATTGACATAGGCAGTAGGCTGTCACTGCTCCATTCGAGTGAAGTCACCTACATCACCAGGAGAGAGCTCTGTCCAGGCTGAAGAAATGTAGCCAAAGGGACAGGTGATGCAATGTGAATACTGTTAATCTAAAAATAAAAGCCAGAGTGAGAGGCGATAAGCATTTATTTGAGATCCAGAAGAATAGCTGGCCAGGAAACACTGACTCAGGCAGAAACCCAAACAGTGTTCCAATTTGGAGATGAAGGGAAGGGGTTTTATGAAAAGGGAAGGGGAAAAATTACAGGAACCAGAGGAAGGGATTTTCATAAGTGCAGATGGGTTAACACAGCGATGCTAATTCTAAAGAATGTTCTGTGGTCATAATGTCTGCTTTCTTGTCACATTTCCAAACAGTTGTTCGGGATATAATGTTGCTTTAGGCCCAGTCCAAAGGTTATCGTGTCTGCTTTAACATTCCAAATGTTTGAGGAATAAGATGTGCAAAGCAGTTCCTTAGTATGGCAACTCCAACTCCATTTTATTTTTATTTTTTAAAATATATTTTATTGATTTTTTTTTTTTTAATGGAGAGGAAGGGAGAGGGATAGTTAGAAACATCAATCAATTGCCCCCTGCACACCCCCCT